TTTTTTTTATCAAATAAAAATATTCAACAAGAGATATATATAAGAAAAAAATTTTAATTGATATTCATATAAATTGTTAAATTTTCATATAAAATTTATGTTTAAAGAGTCAAAAAAACAAAACTAAGATAAGCAAAAATAAACAAAAAGAGAAATAAAGATCAACATTTTTATTTATCGTCAACTATTTTCAATAATCAATTTAAAATAAAAATTTAACCATTTATATCAAACTAACAAATCACCATACGGCCATCACTACAACTCTACTTATGGTTTTTTTCTTTTTTTCTTTTTTTTTTTAACAAAAGGAAATTAATACATATTAAGTAAATGGAGATTGGAAAAAGAGTTTTATAAAACATAAATACACAACTCATAAGAGATTATTTGCACTAATCTTAGGTCTAAACCATGACAGGATTGCTCCACCTGTGGTTTTTGTAAAGGTGATCACATTTTCTTTAATTTTAGCATTGCTTGCATTTCTTGCTTTAATTCGGGGAATTCGATGAGGATATCTTTTCTCACCACACTCTAATGTACTACATACTAGTAGGCACCTTTTCTCTCACCCACTGAGTCTTGCATCTTTCTGGTGGGGGGCAGATGGAAATCTGGACAGACACCAACCACATAAACCTTATATATACTGCTTAAGTTTTTTCCAGCATTTAAGACACATGCACAACGGGAGTAGTTCAAGTGGTAGGCAGGAATTAATACTTCAAGTTCTGTAATCTGTACACAGAGAAAGCACTAAAGTTCTCAATTAAGACAAGGACTGCATGAGAAAATGTGAGGAAAGCTGATGGTCTAATTTCACGAAAAAAGCATGGCCTTTTTTCATCAAAGTGGAATCTGAATTAATTTTTAAATTCTTCGGATTTATTGAATATATATAAGAAAGACCATCGATCGGATGCCAATTATGCTAGTGGTTCAAAAGCCAAGCTCTTTTTCTTTCGTCTTTTTTGGAATGATTTTGCATGCAACTCGAGGCTAACTCATTAGCCACGATTTCCATGAGAGCTGAGTGATGGCATCTAATAGTTCATTTGTTATATACTCCATTCTCGATTTTTATAATAGTTTAATAATAATAATAATTATTATTATTATATTATATTATAATTATAATATTATATATAATTATATAATTAATTTTTTTCATTCAAAATTCCACTCATAATATTATATATATTTATGTATTTAATATTATATCATATTTATTTACTATTATCATATAAAATTATAATATCATAACTGTAATATTACTGTTGTAATAATAATAATAATGATGATAATAACAATAATAAAGTGAACATTTTATTGTTTAGTATTAAAATGATTCCATATGTCCACATCAAGAGCTAAGTCAGTTTGATTGCTCAGCTCATCTTCAGTAAAAGAGCATTCCATACTCACCGACGTCCCCCAAATGTTTCTTCCCCGAAGTATTTTGCGATGGCCTCATCTTGGAAATCGCTCGTCGTCGAGCCGTCTATTGTTCCTTGCTCGCCTTCCTCTCCATTCAGAAAACTTTCCCACCACAAGATTTCATTATCCAGCGAAACCGACAGCGGCGGCGGCTGCGGTGGTGGTGGAGTGTTGCAAATATTTTCTTCCAACGGCCTCGTTAAGCTTCTAGATAAGACCCGGGGCCGAGGCTTTATGACGTTGATATTTGGTTTCCTTTGATGAATCTGCTCTTCGGTGTGAGACACCATCGTTTTGCGGAGGTGAGAGTTCCAAAAGTTTTTGATGTCGTTAGATGTCCTTCCCGGAAGCCTGCCGGCGATAAGGGACCATCTGCATTAGTTGAGATGCACTTTGGATTAAATTTTTTTCTAGGGCTTATTTTTATTTTTTCCTTTTTGGGTGTTTGTGAAAAAATGCCAAAAAAATAAAAAAAAAACCAAATTAATTGGTAGTGTGGTTGGATGGATACACCAAAAGTACAAAAAATTACTAAATATATAAAGGAAACCCACCCGAAGTCCTCCATCATCAATATTTAAATCTTGTTAAAAAAAAAAAACTCGGAGATCGAGCAACTTCTATTTCCTTTTATTTTAGGTTTTTTTTTTTTTAAAGCACACACACAAACATACATATATATAATCTTCTATTTCTAAATATGTGTACTCGCCTGTTTCCTAGCAGCTTATGCAGCCTTATTATGAGATCAACTTCGTCCTCTGCAAATTCTCCTCTCTTGATATTTGGTTTCAGATAATTCAACCACCTCAGTCTACAGCTTTTCCGGCATCTGTTCAAACCTATAAAAACACAAACAAAAATTTGAATTGACAATCATCCACATACAAACAATTCGAAGATTTGTTGATATATTTTGTACCTGCTTTGAAGGGAACTTGGTGCCATTTTCCTTCTCCATGCCTCTGAATGCACTTCTTGAGAAGATCATCTTCCTCCGGAGTCCATGCACCTTTTCTAACACCCAAATGGCCCTCCATATGGTAATATTATGTAGGTACGCCCACATCTAAACTTGCACCTGAATGTCTTGAAATTAAGCCTGAAAGCCAATTTATATATACATCCCATCTCATATCTCTGTCGCTCCAAAGGCGTTTTGAGTAGAATGACGTGCATATCTTGTAGCCACATAGATCAGTGAGTCCACACGACGCATAATGCACAAGATAGCTTCTATAGTTATAGAAGAAATTAAAGTATGGAAAAGAGAGAACGGAAAACTGAAATAAACAAACTCTTGTTATTTAAAGCGATAATGATTTATACATATTTTAATTCAATAAAATGCACCATATATTTATTAAAAAATTATTATTATTTTATTTAAAATTAAAAGTAAACAAACTTAAAGACGTAGTCATGCAATAAGATGCAGAAATTAATTGAATTAATTACATTTATATTATATTTTAATAAAAAAATTAAAATGAATGTCAAAAAATTTGTTGAACCAAATGTGTACTAATCACTTGCTTATTTAAAGATATATCAATGAGTACATAAGTAGTTTTTAGATGGGGAGTGAGTAACCCATTGCTTACTAAACCCATAAAGCCTAAATCAATCCACCATAATAATTCTAAGACTTAAGAAAATGATTGGTATGCTTTTGGTTTAACACATTTCTTGGCACTTGTTTGGTTTAGTTATTAAAATGTAATATAAGTAGAACTGATTTAACTTGTTTTTGCATAGTGTCTGCATAATGTATTTTTAAATTTGTATGTTTTTAATATTAAATAAAATAATAATAATTTTTTAATAAATATATTATGCAGTGTATTAAATTGAAGTATATACCAATTATTGTCCACTAAGACTTATTACCATAGCTGACTCATCAATAACCATTAATGCATATCTCCTAATTAATATCTCTCAATATCCTTAACATCCAACACCCCCCCTAAAACTCAAACTCAAGCCCAAGGTGGTTTTACCGATGTGAATTTGCAAATAATCTCCGGGATGTATTCATAGTTCTTTGCAAAAAAAAAATGTAGAAAATCTTGAAGCCAAAGAACATGAGAAATCTTAAAGTTGCAGATCCACGATCTTTTACCAAGAACATCTCGAAATGAAGAATATCTTATAATCGAATTTAAGAATCTGTTTAGAGAAAAGAAGCTAGGCATAGTAGAAAACTAAAGGAGAAGTAGAAGCCGTTGAAAATTGAAGTTAAAGCAGAAACAACAAATTAGAAGAGTTAGTAGGATAAATTGGAGAATTGAAGTTTAAGAAAATAACAAACGTTAACCAAGAGAATTAAAGAAGTTGAAGAGAAGAAAATAGGAGTGAGAAAAATAGAAGAGTTTGAGAAAAGAAAATAGAGGTGAATTAAAAACAGTTCAATTGAAGAATTAGAGCAAGAGATCATTGAAAACTTTTATGATATAAGCATAATTAGTAGAAGAATCTTGACACACCGCCTCAATTGAGTTTGCTTTCCAAGCATTTTTGTTTTTTGAAAGCACAGAGGTAGATTATATGGCTTTGAAAGAAATAGGAGTTTTTATTTATTTATTTGAAAAAAAATTTTTTTTCTAGACACAAACTAAAAAAGGCCATAAGAATTGCAGAAGCTAAAAATTAAAAAAAAAAAATAGAAATCATGACCTTATGGCTTCTTAGAGCTAAAACATGAAAAAGAGAGAAAGGAAAACTTAAGAGAAAAAAAAAAAAAGCATAACCCTTTTTATTCAAATATGAGTGTATAAATAATATTTGAATAATGATACAATGAACGAATCTTGCGGGATGAAATTGGAGGACCACTTATGTGGACAAAATGTATTCAAACACCCAACACACTTGTCGCATAGACAAACATGTGTAACCTTCTTTTTGAGAGGGATGATTTGTCTGTGTAAGTGGTCCTCCAATTTTGTCCCGTAAGATTCGTTTCCTGTATTATTATTCATAATATTTATATGCAAGCACTCAGTATTGCACAACCCATTGTTTAAGAAACACATAAATCTTAAATCAATCTAGCATAATAACTCTAAAATTTATTACCATAACTGATTCAATAACTATTAATGCATATCTTTTAATATCTCTTAATAGGACACTAATTAGTATATTTTTAGGTCTAATATAATGTACAACATATTTATTAAGAAAATCATTATTTTATAGTATAAAATTAAAAGGCGATAAATTTAAAAATACAACCTTGTACATACAACATGCAAAACTTGATTGTAATTATATTAAATTTTAATGATTGAACAATGCAGATGTCGAAATGTGTGTTGAAATGAAGGGCATACCAATTATTTTCCCTTTCAATATCCTTCATAGTAATTCTCTATCTATTTATGGGTTCGTCGAAAGCAATCATTCCAACTAGAACATTAATATAGATACCCTCCAATTTTATACATCTTATAACATATTTATTTAAAAATTATTAAAGATAAGAAAACTTAAAAATCATAAATTTTAATAATAAAACTGATGGGTATTGAAGAATATATTGAATTAAAGAGGATACCAATTATTTTTCTTCAAATTATGTAATTTCCATGCATGACTACAAGCCAGAATTCTGTTGCTTTCCTTCTTTCTCGTGAGAAACGGGTTTGTACGATCGATTTTCTTTAATCAAATTAAGCCAAAAGATTCTAAGACTAAGAGCACCACACCTCAGGACACATAATTGCTTCATATCGGACATACTGCGTACACCAGTAGATCAAGTAAAAATCAATGGCAAAAACTTGATTATACCCGATAGCATTACCATCATGATATCTAGATATGCATAAATGGCATTTTGATAAGATTTTTTACTTTTTACTGATCTTGAGTATATCTGATGTCGCATGCACCATGCTGTCTAACGTGAGTGGCAAATATAAGTAGAACGAGAAACATACACCATGCTTGATTTTGATCTGCGCTAATTAATGTACCATCTACGAAATTGTTGATGTAGAAATTATAGGCATCAGGCAGGGATAGGAGGTTGATGGATTGTAATGGGACGTGTGATCACATGCATGCAAAGCTCTGTTAATTTTGGAGGGGGTTTCACTCATATTCTTAGTTGAGGGGCTTATTTTGCCTTGACTCAAAAGTAACCTAGGGGATTATGTGCAAAAGTGAATTTAGTTGATCAGGAGCATTTCAAATAAGAAACAATTTCTTTGGCTTAAAAAAAAAAAAAAAAAAACACCAAGTGGATAGACTTGGACAAACAGGTTTGGTAGAATGGGTTAGAATTGACGAGTCATTTTGAATTTTAATTTTATTGGATTAGATTATTTCTAATTTTGAGTTAAAGGAGTAAATCATCACTTATTCACATAATTTTTAAATTAAGTTGGGTACCCAAATTTTTAAATTAAGTTGTGTACCCAAA